GGACAACGACGCATTAATTCCAAGACTGCTCGAGCCATGTGTACATGGTCACATTATCGCTTTCAACAGCATTTGATCCATAAGGCACGTGAGCATCCCTGGTGTCGTAATTTGTACAGAAGAATACACCAGTAAAACTTGTGTGGATCCTGTGGTCATATTCATAAAAAGCTTGGTGGATCTAAGGTGTTTAGCTGTCCCCAATGTAAAACAAAACTTGATAGAAACATTAATGGTGGTCGCAATATTCTTCTTCGATATATTACAAAGAGTCAGCTTAGGCTGACGCGGGAGCCTATTCCCTGACAGGACTTGTTATTCCTAATTTATTAGTAATGATAGGCGTTGAATCCTCTTTCTGCATATCCAAGCGTCAGTAAATAAAAAAAAAAGCGAAATACGTATGCTGATTGGTCTGTATCACATGTCAAAATCCCACTTTGTCGCAGAATTTACACTTGGATCATCAGCCTTTACTTCAACGCCTATCACGTCTTATTTCGTCGATCTCCTTTTTGATTTATTCATATATCCTCGCAAAAATGCCCAAGTTTTCTCTGGAATCCATCATACGTCCAAACATTTTGTCACTAAAACCATATCGCTGTGCACGAGACGATTACGCAACCGGTATACTCCTTGATGCAAACGAAAATTCCTTTGGATCGGTGATTAACTCTTCCGCAGAAAGTCTGAACAGATACCCAGATCCCTATCAATTAGATGTTAAAGAACGGTTTATTGACTTTCGAGGAATAGCATCTGTTGATAATACATTTCTTGGTGTTGGATCCGACGAAATCATGGATTTGCTTATGCGGATATGCTGCATTCCAGGAAAGGATAAAATATTGGTTACTCCGCCTACCTACGGAATGTATTCTGTCTGTGCTAAGATCAATGATGTGGAAGTTGTCAAAGTCAATTTGGATGGACGATTTCAATTAAGAACCGACGAAGTGAGTTATCTGCACATGTGATATGCTGATGGTTTCTTTTTTGCGTAAAATACGAATACTATTGTTAAATCTATATGCATCTTAAATCAAAAGATATCAAAGACACTCTCCGAGGTTCCCAATATTAAAATAGTTTTCCTTTGCTCACCAGGAAATCCAACGGGAACTGCATTGTCTCATGAGAGTATAAAAGCAATATTGGAAGATGTGAATCTTAGGGGATTGGTCGTAGTGGATGAAGCTTATATTGATTTCGTAAGTGAAGAGAGGGAAGGCAGTGTGGCCGAATGGGTTGAAAAATACGACAATTTAGTCGTTATGCAGACTTTGAGTAAGAGTTTTGGTCTAGCTGGGATTAGGTAAGCAAGATTGAAATGATACAGATCGGATTTTTTGTGACTACTGCATATGGATTGACAATTTCAATGTGGATTGGCATTAACGTTCAGAAATATCACTAAACTGTTATATTATTACTAACGGTGCTGTTTGTCTATCATATTATCTTTTTGACATAGACTTGGAATAGCTATAGCGAATCCGTTCATTATCAACATGCTGAACAACACAAAGGCTCCATACAACATCAACTTGATGACCTCCCAAGTGGCCCTATCTGCTCTTCAACCAGACGCAATTGCCAAAATGCGATCTATGGTATCTCTAATTCGCGCTGAACGCGCCAAACTACTCTCATCCATTGCCAACATCCCTAGTGTTGCTAATATTCTTGGTGCAAACGATGCTAATTTCATCCTTGTTCAAATTGTTGATGGCAACGGAAAGCCCAGTAATGACCGTGCTCAATATGTGTATAAACAATTAGCTGAAAAATTGGGGGTTGTTGTTAGATTTCGTGGGCATGAATACGGATGTGAAGGCAGTTTGAGGATTACGATTGGGACCCCTGAACAGAATGAGGCTCTGTTGACCAAGTTACGGGAAGTTTTAGGTGAAAGTTTCTAAAGAAAACCACGAGACTGTGTCTCGATTGTAATCGAGTTGTAAAACAGGATTGGATGAGGCTTGATCTTATAATGGTAGAGATGGTTTTCAATATTTTGGAAGCATTTTGGACTGGGCACCAAAGGTTGCAGATAATGATGGGTCCTACGATGAATGTGCATGGTGCCTCCCGCAAGCAGCAATAGTACCTTGTAATTTTCCCAATAGAGTATAAGTAGTTGCAAGAATCAGACACGGTGTGCTAGAAAGTTTATTGGTAACGAAAACGTGGCTTAAATATAACATGTTTATATAATATAATGCAAACATGCAGAGTTCAGATGTTGAATCGACCAAAAAGTTAAATTTCACGTGCTGTAATATTTCAATAATAACAACCATAACCTCTACGCAAAATGCATTGTCGCAAGTGACGCATTTATTTGAATTTTTCTGTCCAATCATATTTATGACAGTAGAAAATAGATTATCATGTTTGTGTAATACATTATACGCTTTGTTTGTAATAGTAAGAAGAAAAATTCTAATTACGAAGATCATATCACGTGACAATATACATCCAATCACATATCGTTACATTTGTTCGAGATATCTGAAGTTTTTCGTTCATGTCACTTTTTGATTAAGTAAAGCGATGTTTGAGAAGACGTTGACCGACTTAATACGAGGGATCCGTGCGCACAAAAAAGATGAGCAAAAATATATTGCAAGTTGCCTGCAGGAAATACATCAGGAGGTCAAAAGCAACGATCCTGATATCAAAGCCATGGCTATTTCAAAGTTAACTTATGTGAGTGAGTAAAGAAAGCTACGACGAAAATCTGACGTTATAACGCTAATTAACGCATTTGCCGTTATATTGTTAGCTTCAAATGCTCGGTTACGATATGTCTTGGGTGTCCTTCCATGTCGTCGAAGTTATGTCTTTCCCAAAGTTTTCGCATAAACGTACCGGATACTTGGCTGCTACACAATCTTTTCGCCAGGACACTGACGTGTTAATGCTTACTACAAATTTACTCAAGAAGGTAAGAATATGTTCATAAAGACTCGTTGACTGTTGGAACATTACTTGAACTTGATCGATGGTTGAAGAGAGATATTTATGCTTATATAAGCGGTGCTCTTGAGCAAGAGTTACTCCGCATTAGTCTTCGTTTTCACGTAAGCTATGCAATTCTGAAACAATACCTCACAACGAATGTAAATTTACTTTTAATAGGATCTTGCGTCTGGAAACCATATGGAAGTGGGAGTGGCTCTTAATGGTCTCGCCGATATTGTAACACCCGACTTGGCGAGGGATTTATGTCAAGACCTTGTTGCAATGCTTAACCATTCTCGGCCGTACGTGCGAAAAAAAGTGGTGCTTGTCCTGTACAAATTATTTCTCAAATTTCCGGAGGCTTTAAGACTAAGCTTTCCAAGGTTGAAAGAAAAGTTGGATGATCCCGATCCCTGTATGTCTCGTTTTCGGAACCAAGTAAAAGAAAAAATGTTTAAGTCACTTGGCATTATATAATTGTACAGGCGCGCACTTTCAAATTATTTATATTGAATTATATGAATTAATCTACTTCCATATACGTTCAGCGGTTGTCTCGGCAGCTGTCAACGTCATCTGTGAATTGGCAAGAAAAAATCCGAAGAATTATCTTTCACTAGCGCCACAACTTTTTAATCTCCTGACAAACTCGTCAAATAATTGGATGCTTATAAAAATAATTAAACTGGTAAGTGAAATTTGTCGTATGATTTGGCATCCCTTTATAGACGACATGACTAAAAGACATCTAATCTTCAACACAGTTTGGCGCTTTGGCGCCACTAGAACCTCGCCTTGCGAAGAAACTAACTCCACAAATATTCCATATGATTGAAAATACACCGGCCATGTCATTGTTATATGAATGTATCTATACTGCAATCGCTGGAGGCATGCTAAACTCGGACAGACAATCGGACGCCCTAGCCGCTGTCTGCGTCAGTAAATTAAGAACATTCTTGGAGAGTGCTGATCAGAATTGTACGTATAAGAATTTTTTGTTTTGTTTTGTTTATTATAGTATGTCTGCGTATTGACTGTGACTATTACAGTGAAATACGTTGGTCTCTTGGCACTTGCGAAGATCCTTCCGACACATCCAAAGCATGTTGCAGAACATCGAGATATAATATTAAAGTGCATCGATGATTCCGATATTAGCATACGATTACGATCACTAGATTTAGTTGTTGGGATGGTAAGCTGATCGGAGAAGAGGTTGTAGTTGTTTGTGAAGATGTATTTGATATTGAATACTTTGTTATTTTTACGGTTCTAATTAGGTTAACAAGAAGAATTTGGCGGACATTGTAAAACGACTGATGTCACATCTTTTGCCTCCTTCAAATACCAAGAATTCTGCCACAAATCATCTCCTTCCATCGACTCTGCTTGAACCAGCTTATCGCGCGGACATTATACATCGTATTATATATATATGCTCGCAGAATGCATATGCCAATGTGACTAATTTTGAGTGGTATGTCGCAGTACTAGTTGATCTTACTTACGTTGCCGGCGTCAAAGTAGGAGATCTTCTGACAAGTCAGCTTATGGATGTGTGCGTTCGTGTGAAGAGCGTTCGTAATTATTGTGTTAAAGCAATGGTAAGGCGTTATGGGTTGATTCATAGATGGATATCAGAAGGTGCTTATACGAATTTCCTTCGGGTTTGTTAGGTCAAGTTGTTATCGGATGTTACCTTGCTAGAGAATTGTTCACTTCCTGATTCCAACGCGGAAGTCTTGTATGCAGCAGCATGGCTGGCTGGGGAATATTGCAGGTTATCTGAAGCTTTATTTTCTGACTTATTAGGTTCGGACTCACATTCTGTTCACGCTGATATCCAACAATAGTTGCTGAAATGATGGTTTACATATTATCTAGTTACCAGATTAATCCGTCGGATACGATAGAATATCTTCTTCAGTCTGGTGTAACAAAACTTTCACATCGTGTGCAAGCGGTTTATGTTCACAATATTCTTAAAATATACGCTTATTGGGCAAAAAGTCTTACTTATAACTGGGATGAGGATGCAAAGGATGATTTACTTCGACTTACCACACTAATTGACGAGAAATTTGGAACGTTCTGTTCATGCACAGATTTGGAGGTGCAGGAACGGGTAATCATCAATTTGATCTACATTCTTTGCAAAACCAAACTTATTATGATACATTCTTTACGATATTATTTTATTAATAATCAGGCACATAACGTACGGGCAATTATCTCGATAGTGCGTGAACACTTGACGAGCAACGTTCCGGCCCAAACTGACGAAACCGATGATTATGTTTTGTCGGAAAAAGCCCCTACTGTTATCGATGAATTATATAATTTGTTTTTTGCATACGAACTCAACCCGGTAGCACCCAAAGCACAAAAGAAGGTTCCTATACCTGCCGGGTTAGATCTTGATGCGTGGATTAACGAACCACCGCCACAATCGGAAAGCAGCAATAGTGGCGAAGAAGAAAGTTATGGTTTTGGTTATCGGCAAAAATTAGGTGGCAGTGGCGACTTGTTGTTTTCAAGTGGCAGTGGAACAGCGGTTGGGAGACGGCGTAGAAGAAAAAATCGGCAGAAGGGTGATCGTGACAAGGGAGAGAGTGAAGAAATGAGGGTTCAGGTTTGCAACGTTTTTGTTAAAGATTCTTTGCCACGATATTTATTTCATTTGCAGAGAGGAAAATTACAACTTTTTTAAATGTATTATGCAGCGCCGAAGAGAGCGAAGAGAACGCATGAAAAATGACCCTTTTTATATAGATGTTGGAGAATACGATAATCCTACAAGGACAAAGCCTGAAAGTCCACCAAAGTCTGCTAATAATGAAATTGATGTTGATTCTATACCCGTGGTTCATCTTACAATGGATGATTTTGACTTCCGGCGTAAGTACACCAATTTTGCAATGAATGCTATCTGCCTAGAGAATATAGACATTGACATCATGTGCCGGTTTACAGAGAAAAAAAATAAAGGGAAGTCTAAAAGGTCAAAAGAAAACAGGAAAAAGGAAGTGTCTGCTCTCTCATCACTACCTCCAGTAATCTATACAGATATCGGAGAGATGCCAGAGAACGCAACATTATCAGATGACGATAAGGACTTAAAACCACTTGACCAGAAGGTCTCTTCCTGGAGAAATCCAAATGATAAAGGCATTTTGGACATTGACTTTTCAGGAATTTCCAACGTGGATTTATCAACTCCATTGACGGAAAACGAGAAATTTCCTCAGACAACTGTATATCTTAGCCCCGAAGAGCTAAGGAAAAGGGAGGAGGAAAAGAATAAATTGAGATTGAAAGAACAAAGAAATAAGAGCATAATTACAAGTGATCATCCCACAAAGGTTAAGGTTTGTTGCTAGCATTATTAACTCGTGTTTTTCCTCCTTTCACTTTGGCTCACAGAAATGATGTTTAGGATGACCATGCGAAGTCAGAGTCTAAGAAAAGGAGATCAAAAGTAAAATCTAAAAAACCATCAAATGCATCCGAGTCATCGGCAGTAACGGCAAAGAAGAAATCAATGTCTGTAAAAAAAATGACGAAAGGGGAAGCAGATGCTGGTGAACACCTGAAATCGTCTGCTGGAAAATCCAGAAAAGAGAAGGAAAATAAGGATATTAAAAATAAGAAGGGGAAGGGCGTTAAGGAGAAGAAGAAAAAGACTACAGAAAACAAAGCTAAATCTGTTTCTTCACCCACTTCTGGGACTGATAAAGTGGATGAGAATAAAGGAAGCCATGTAAACGAGCAATCCGTGCAGCCGGTGAAGCAAAATATCTACACCCTCATTTCTGGGGATACTTTACACATAGTAAGTTCCTGAGATGAAATTATTTGTAAGACATAAGATAAATAACCGCTTATTGAACGTTATGTTGTAGACATATACCCTCAGTTTAACGTCTAATGAAGAATTAAGAAATGAACCTCCAACGGTTGTTGCTTCATTCCTTATAGAGAACAAGGGAGTATCTGACGATCATTTTTATTCGGGGCTTGCTTTGAGATTTGAGCCTTCATCCGATATACAGTTTGATAGCACTTTGCTCCATGTAGATGGAGTGTTAAAAGCTAGTGAACGAAGGGAAGTTGCAGTCAAGTTTAGAGTGTTAGGTATTGTTGGTGCTAGATTAACTGTGAATGGACGCGTGACTTGGGAGAATAATTTGGTAAGACTGTCTATTATTGGTCATTCATTTAAGGGAGTTCTTGTGATAATAATAACATAACAAGAATAATCTTCATTCTTGGCGTTTGCATATAGCATACAGGCGGTTTCAGCGCTTCAGATGGGTCGGGTGCAGAAATACCTTTTGCATTTGAGATACCAGTTGCAACTTTTATGCTCCATATACCTACCATCACCCCAGCGCAGTTCACAGCATTTCTATACAAATCAGAAAACTTTCCCTTCAGCGGATCAACGTCGGTCAATCTCACTGTTTCATCTTCGTCCGTTGAGCAAGAGTTTGATAACGCAATTGCCCAAATTACAGCAGTTGCTACCGGAACGCACGTTGTCGAGAAAGTTCCCGGTGCGGTTTCAATTTATGGAAGGAGTGTCCAAGGTTATCAAATAGCCGGATTGACTAAACTTGGGGTAACGAAGGAAGAGGCTGAGGATACTGAGGAAGTCAAAGCCGTTTTGAAAATAGAATTAAAGTGCACAGACCAAGCATTCATTGATGGACTAGTTAGGGAAATTGAGCGTTTATTCGCATTGCCATCGTAGTTGGCAGAAAACAAAACTAGTCGTTTTCGTCCATTGCTATGAAAGAATGACTTCCGACTTTTGACAGGATGCACTCAATGACATTTAGACAGTGATAAGCATTTTAGCAGCCATATTGGTTGATTAACATTAATACAGAATCTTTATTCCCATAGATAACAGGTAATAATTCTGGATGTAGTCGCTTACTCGGTTTTTGTAATCCTTTTTATTTATATTGTAATTCAGATTCATGATCGTCATTTTTATTAGACATGCATCACATTCTCAATCTTCCATCTTGATATTTACCGTTGGTTTGAAAGTTGGTTGGGTTAATGGAAGAGACCAAGATCTCGATCCGATAGTAAGGATAATATTACCGCATCTTTTTGTTGGACTACAGAAAATATCTGACGTGTTCCAAGTTTTGAAACGTTACAATGAAATATTAATCAGAACCAATTTCAATCAAACTCCATGGTCAACCTTCTTTATGCCAATTGCTATCTGCGCCCGCTAATTGAATTTCAGAAACTTAACAAGTTCCAATCGTATCGGGTGCAAAGAATCTTCCTCTTCTTTCTTAAAGAAGTTGGCGTCACAGACATATAAAACGCGCGTCGTCAGTACTATTTATTATAATTATTTCATGGTTATTGAGCATTATCTGTTTGATATAAGAGCGCTTGGGCAAGATGGAGTTAAAGGTCCTACATCTAATCCTTGACTATGCAGACGTGTATTTTTAGTTCAAGCCGCGTTGAGGAAGAGTTTCCGCTTTGCCCCTATTATTATGGGCTACGTAAACTTGGAACCTATTATTCTTATCATTGAGGCAACAAAATCACCTTTAGTTACCGAGGTATCGAATAGATCCAAGCAAGTCCACATTTCTAAGCCCAAATTTGAGTCCTGGTATTAGAATTTAAAACTATGACCTATGAAATGGAAGAATATACAATAAGACTAACTTGAAAGAATTGCTTGATCAATGCTAGGAAAAAGAACTTACCCATCTTTACAAGAACAGCGAAGCGATACGTCATGAAAAATCTGGAATTTTCATACGCTGAGCTTATATCGATTTTATGATGTACGCATCCAATCAAACGAATAGGACCAACAGACATGTGATTGTTAAAACAAACTGCTACTATATCTAGCATGTCATAACAAATTTACACTTCTTACTCCTGCGTAATTATGGATCAGGTTTGTGCGGTCGCTGCCGTTGTTATATCCCTATCTATCGCGATTCTAATTTAGTTAACAACCTAACCGTCTTGCAATCTATTCTGATCTGATCACCCATTGATCTATCCTGTCCACCTACAAACCAGTCCGGTTCCCAAGCCACCTCTTCTCACAATGTCAGAATAGCGGTCAGCGATCTGGCGAAATATTATCAGTTTAACTGCGACAAATTGCTTCACCAGACAGCAAATAACAGGCCGGCGCTTGAAAAGAAGAAGAAAATATCAAAAGTCAACCTCGACACGACTCTTAACGATGCACTTCGTCATCGGGGAATGGAATTCGAGGAGCAAATCAAAAACAAATTGAAAAATGTAAAAGATTGTCAGAACATTAAACCATCAGAGGCAAAGCGTGTGCTGAAAAAGGCCGCAGTTGGAGACGTGCTTTACCAGTTGAAATTTGAAATACCTGAGAAGTTTTATGAGAAGATGGGTATTCAGAATGTTAGATTACGCGCCATTATACCTGATTTCATAGAGGTCAAAGAGGAGAATGGGGAGAAAGTGCTAATGATATTAGATGCGAAAGCTTCGAAGGCCGCTAGAGTGGCTCATCAGGTATGGCGATGTAATTTATATTGGATTATACTAACTATCTAAATTTGTTTAACATAACTGTTACCTCAATCCATCGTGTATGCAGTTTCAAGTGGCCTCATATGCGTACTTTATAGATTACATTATAAGCAGAATGAGAGGCATTTCAATATCGCGTACTGGTGGAATATATCTCCCTCCATTCCAACTACAGACATTTCGTATGGATTTTCTCTTGCCTAAGATAGAACGCTTCTTCAGCGTTGAACTTCCGCGTATAATGTCGGCAAATACTGTGTCATGGCATTACAACAACCGATGCAGGAATTGCGAATTTGTAAATACATGCCGTAGCGATTCTAAAAATACTATATCAACGATACCATATCTCTCGGTTGACAAGGCTATTGATCTAAAAGGTTTTGTGCAAGATTTTGCCAATGAAGTGGATGAATCGAATAAAGGCAATGCTAACGAAACCATACCTAGTGTATATAATGAGCCACAGATTGAGGATCTTGTCAAATGGTTCGATGATCTAAACATTAAGGATAAGAAGGACCGAGATGATGACCTTATGAGTAAGCGCGTGCAGGACATTATTAAATACGATAGAAAATCTGGACGATCTCCTTACATGGATGCTTTATCCACGAAGAAAGCACAGGTACCATAAATCTTTTCTTCTATCTATTTCGACTTATTGCTAATAAACCGTTTAATATCACGAATAGTTTATCGGAACACCTACTGCAGCATTCCCACAAGTTACCGACCATAATCTTGTAATCAGTATGTCACTGGATCCATTTGTATCGAAGCCATTTGGATGGGCTATTTGCTTGTATAAAAGTGATGGGACAATAGAAAAACGTCACAGGCACGCCGGTTCTATTAAGAAAGAAGATGAAACTGAAGAGACTTTTGTTGCATTGATGGAGAAATTTGTCACGATATTAGATAAGGCGTTTGAGTATCTAGCAAGTGTGAAATCTCATGCCTGTGTCTTTGTATATTCTGAATCAGAAAAAAACACCATTCAGGATGCGCTGCTTTCTATTATTTCTATGGAAGAAAGTTCAGTGTCGCCTACAACCCAGCACATGGCAAGTAGATGTCTGTTCAATCTATTCGAAGACACGTCGCTTCTTATGGCTAGTAACGATGCGGATGCAGACGTGACAGAACTGCCTGACGATTGGCGAGAGTTTCCTCGAATTGTGGTGCTTGAACAAGCTATTAAAACGAATGTAGCAATGGATGTGCCGGGTTTCTATCGATTAAAAGATGTGTGGAAGAGAATGGTTTATCCGCTAATGAAAGATGAAGCACTTAAGAATGAAATCAACGAGAATTTGTATATGATTGACTTGGATGGATTATACGAACTATGGGTTGTTGAGAACAACATAAATAACACGAACGATCTCCATTTATTGCGAAATCATTTTACCAATGCAGTTATTCACGCTTATTATGACCTACTGAGAAGCCATACTCCAGACATCGCTTCCATATTAATATCCTCACCTCCACCCTTCTCATTCACTCAGATTAAGTCATTTAGTAATAATTACTTAGGTAAATTGTATTTCTTCAAGCAATTCGAAGCAGTGACCGGATGTGCGAAAATACGAGCTAGTAGGTTCAACGATCTTGTCCAGAGAGGAGCCGTGTCGGGAGTTGTATTGGAATTTGATAAGTTTGTTAAGAAAGTTAACGAATCCGAGAGGTATCCAGAGTGGGTGGCTAGATTTATTCTAATTAGCGGTGGGAAAGAATTCAGCATATTGGAGCCCAGTCATTTGAAAGAGTACATTTTGGTCGATGATTCAGATGAGGTAATACTATTGTATTTAGTATTTGATTATGTGGACTGCCGTTATTCTGATTTTATTTCTTAATACGTGACGAACAGGGAGTTTTACAAGCAATAAAGTTTCCAGATATGGTTTGGCGTAATAAGTTTGTTGGATTCCCAGTGTCTGTTGTTAGTCTCTTTGAAATAGACAACCGGGATTCCCAGAGAAGGGCCGTGTGCTTGAAAGGAAGGTTCATTGGCAGTATTGGAAAGAACTTGAAGACTTATCGCTTGTATAAACGTTACGTTGATTTCAACGTTGAGAAAGTCACTTCCTTGATGAGTGAGATTGATGAGCGTCCCGATAATAAGTCTATCTTTCTGGTGAGTTTTTTTTTTTTTTTTTTTTGTTATATGGAGGTTAGAGTTTAACTCAGCGTCACAAACCAATTGATACAATTGATATTATACCAAAGTCAAGTGTATCCATGTATACAAGACTGCGGTTCCCATTGTAGCACTAAGTTTCTAAATTTTCGTTCAAGTACGAGTTATCGTTGCGCTAATCTTTGTTTCTATTATTCTCGTTATTCTGACGTTAGGATGTAATACATGATCCTAATAAATGGGGTTTGCAAAAATTACACGAAGAAGATTACAAAGAACTTAAAACTACCGCCCTTAAACTCCGCGACTCGTTCAAAATGTCTCCATCACAGAAGGAAATTTCCGCGTCTCTGCTAGACAGACGCTTACAAATAGTCTGGGGGCCACCTGTAAGTTTGATGAGATGTGAATTCTCCCGTTCGATTATTACTCATAGTTTACTGTGTATTTCATTCCCATCTCACACAATTTGTTCCTTTTTTTGTTGTTTCTAGGGCTCTGGTAAAACGCACTTCCTTGCTCTCTTCACTGCGTGGTATTTAACGACAGTGAAACCACAACCATCAAGAAGAAGCAAAAATTTTGTTATTGGAGTAACGGCATTTACACGAGCGGCAATCGATAACCTTCTTTTACGTATTCTGAGTATTCAAAAAATGCATGATAAAACGGGAGAATTCGAAATATCATCAATGGGGAAGGAGGCGAATAAGGAAGGTGATATTAAAGAATATGTGGCTGATTCGCTGGCAAAGAAAATAAAGAGTGGGCAGTTAGCTCCAGGCGGACAAGCTGTAGTTATCGGGGGAACTGTATGGGATTGGTATAAAGTTAGGAAAGAATTGAAGAAGTCGTGGGATGGGATAGATATGTTGATCATAGATGAAGGATCACAGGTAAATGTTATTTGGCTACGAATTGTTTCTTACTTTCTTTCTGCACTATCGGTGATCGTCAATTTTCTCTTTTTTCTTAATCTCATAGTTACTAGTTTCCGACGCGAGCATCGTACTCGAATGTCTGAATCCCAAGACTGGTCAATTAGTCGTGGCTGGAGATCACATGCAATTGGGTCCGATTATTCAGAATACGTATCCTGTATTCCCTGAGGATCATCCACTCATATTTGGATCTATTCAGCAATGTTTAATGCGGCGAGAAGATGGATCAGTTTTTAATGAAGACGATTTCTTCTTAAAGAAGGGCCAGAAGCATGATTTCGGTCCGTGCACTATTCAGCTGAGAGATAATTGGCGAATGGTAACGTAATGTTACATATATATGCAATGATTCTATACCGTCTAATATATAACATTATATTTATTTCCCATCAATGGTAGAATGATGAATTAAACAGCTTTTTCCAAAAAATCTACGGTGATGACTATATAACCACAAGACCAGCTCTCAAACTCAATCTCGACGACACAATACTTTCCACAATAACGACCAACGACAACGTCAAACGAGCCCTCACTCCAACCAACGCGATAACACTCGTGAAGCTTTCTCTCGATCTTCCAGTACCGTCATATAAATCTCAAACTAGTCTCCTTCCTGAACAATATCTCCAAGCCGAAGCAGACGTCGTCTCTGAAATATCCAAAGCCTATCTCGAATCTGCCCATATCCTAGACGACAGGAAACCATCGCTATTCATAGTAACGCCACATCATCGCCAACGACATGCGATTCAATGTCGCATGAGTAAATACCTCAACAGCTCCGAGTATGTGCTTCAAATAAATACGGCCGAAAAGATGCAGGGACAGGAATGTGATATGGTAATCGCATGCTTTGGTTTCATGGACGTCTACGAAATTGCAAGAGAATCGGATTTTCTTTTTGATAGAAATAGATGGAACGTCGCCATCAGTCGAGCAAGATGCAAGGTTATCGTGATTACTACAAATGAGATGTTATATCCTAAGGGTATGGAAGTGTTTGCAAATAAAAAAACAAGCGAAGGATGGGTGTTCCTCAGTATGGTAGACAGATGGGTCAAAGATCGTTTCGAGAAAACGAATAAAAAAGGTAGGAAAAGCAAAAACTCACCCGAGAGTACTTCAGTGATAAATTGGGTAGTTGATGGAACCCAGCTTTCTCGCGTTTCCCAAACGTTGGACGTATTCCTCGCTATGGGCGGGACCAGGTTATCTCTGGGTACTCCACGGCGAGTGAGTTCTGCTTCTAGTAGTACATATGCGAGAAAAACACCTACCAGCCCGACTGGAACAAAATCTCCAGCCAAATCTCGTGGGGAGGGCCGAGGGAGGGGAAGGGGTAGAGGGAGGGGGAAAGGGAGAGGTAGAGGGGGAAACGGTGGATCAAACGGTGGATCAAACGGTGAGGAACTTGGAGATGATGTGACATACACGATACGTGAGGCTTTTGCTTCACAGGCTGCGTCGGGATCCAAGAGTACTTCAACAGATGATAAGGAAAGTGGTGACGCCGAGACAGAAGGTAACAGCCGAAGTAGGAGTGATAGTAGCAATAGCAACAGTAGCAGCGGTAGCAGCAATATCAGTAGTGGTGATACTGTTAATATTGTCCCTGTTGATGTTAATAGCAACAGTCCAACTGGTGATGACAGCGAGAATGTTGTTACCAAGCCGCGTACTGCAAGGAGAACCAGCACTGGTATAAAGAGTAAGAGTAAGAGTAAGAGTAAGGTTATAGTCAGCACTACTAAGAAGAAAACCAATGCTAGTAGAATTAGTATGACGGGTGCTGGCAGTCAAAGCAATCCGATAAAAATAGAGGATGAGGATGAGGATAGTTTTTTTGAGCCTCTATCCTAAGCTTTATTATAGTGAAACGATGATATTAAAACACAACTTTGGTAATATGCATTTACCCCCCTGTAACAGCGAAGTGGCTACAAGTTTAAGGATTATTTTGTTTTTTGTATGAGTTCAGGTTCTATAGCAGCTAATAGAGTTTGATCCTTGATGGATATTTGGACTCTCTAGGAATCTGCGCTTTATAATAGAATGGTCTGTTTATACAACACATACGTACTTTCCCGATGCCAAACTCTAATAAATGTAGCATAATGGCTTTATTCTGATTTGTTCATTAAGAGAACGTTGAAACCATGCCATGTACGAGCATCGTTCATGTTTGAAGACTTGTTTTCTCGTAATTAAATCAGGGAAATCGACTCTTATACTTAGCTCTTGCATACTTTTACCTAGAATCGCGAACTGTACAATTCCTAAAGAAAATTCCCAGCACAGAATTTAAGATCAAAATGTTGAAAGCCTTTTTATTTTGCGCCTTTGGTGATTTTTTCAAACAAGTTCATAATAACCGCAGATGACCAAATACAGATAAAATTAAATAGCAACATTATTTTTATTCTGCCTATCTGCATTGTCGCGAAGGAATATGTTGAAATAGTTTACGTATAACCTAACCTTTGCTCCGACTCTGCCTATTCCCCGATAACTTTCTAACTATCTTCCGAATAAAGTGCGTCGCTTGATTCTTTGTCATGATTTTGGTCATTGGACTGTATTTGACAACGAGATCAATCTTTTATTTGTTTAGATTCGTTGTATTTTTACCTTATTTCGTCGTCATCGGCATGGCGAATTTTGCATACTCACGTAGGCCTATGACCATTGTGTTGAAAAACGGTGCAAGAGCATATGTAATCTAGCACAATTGTAAACAGAGGCTGCTTCCCTCTGTTGACTCATCTTTAACCAAGAGCTAACAACTGATCCAATAAAAAGCAACAACGATCATATACCAACCTTCTAGCAACAACACTACTACTTTCAACACTCAAAAAACTACATCAAAAAACAATAATGAATAGCAATGGAATTACTCAGTTATAGTAGATTTATTAAGTTTCTTTTTCTTGTGGAAAACAAAGTTTAATACAAGTCAACAGTGTGTTACCAAAAAAAGATAAAAGCACGCATAACTTACTAAATATGGATTGCTTTGTATCGCGTTTTTTTAATGTGCGCTCAGCTAAAGACTCACATGGCAAACTTAATCGCAAGAAAGGGAGTGGCCGGCCAAAGAAAGTATCACCTGTAGTTGCGAAGACAATCTATACGCCGAGAATCCAGTATTTCTCTTGAAACTAAACTTCTGCACAAAGGTTGTACGTGACAATTTTAAGACATCTTTCACAGCTTGGGTATAACAAAAAGTTACCGAAAGCCTCCAGGAAGCATTTAAAATCCATCTTCGTGGAGGTTCGGATGCTTCATTGATGTTAATAACCGAAAATCATAACGAAGACGAGTAGAATGGGCACAATACCATCTGAACGACAATTGGAACAAACCCGTTTTTACTGACAAAACAGCTTTTCAGCTTTTTCGTAATACTGTAGAACGTTGTTATAAGGGTGAACGGCCTATTGACAATGGACGCAAAGTTTTATATTGAAATATTGGAAAATCATCTTCCGGAGGTCCGCACAATGATGGGAAAGAGCTGACGGTTTCAGCAAGACAACAACCCTAAACATACAAGCCGTCTTGCTCAGTCGTTTCTTAGGGATAATTAATGGACTGGCCTGCAAATAGTCCAGACTTAAATCCCATAGAAAATTTATCAAAACTAATGTAGAAAAAAAATTGATGCAGTTTATGGTCGAAGAGTGGAATTCTAATCCTGAGAATCAGCCTTGACGCAAGTAATATGCTACACGAAAAAACTCGAACAATTAGAAGCGATGATGGTATTGCTGAAAGTGTAAATACACCATACGAGCTCCCCCCCGGTCCAATATAGACATTATCTTAAGCTGTTAGCCGAAAAAATCCGGAAGATACCCGTAAAAAAGAAATTGGATATCTTGTTACAAAGGATATAAGCACTGAATCATGGGGAGATTTTGCTGATGTCAAAAGAGGGTATACGTGCTACTATGAGAGAGGAATGCGACAATCATTACGAGAATGGTGTACGCGATGGTTAGTTAATGTGTATGATATTGTTACAGCGAAACTAGTTGGGTAATGTTGACGCTTTGATATAATAAATAGGCGTAGTTGAAAGACAAGACGATTGGGATGAGTGAAATAATGATGCAGTACTATCAGCTCGTAGTGTTCAATTATTCGATGCCTTTATTTCATATGATTAATAAACGAGGGATTATTACCCTGATAATATACGTTTGATATCTCATTCTCTGAATTATTCGATATAGCCGTTGGACCACTAATCCTTATATCGAAGAAGAATAATTGTCTCTTGTCCCGCGATTATTCGAGTGGCGCGTTTGTTATAGTTGAAACGCATTTGTACCCCAACCGGTAGACTATCGAATTAATCCCAACGATAGAGAACCGCGGCATAGTTGATTATCGTCTACGCATCGACATTGTGAAGGAAAGCCTGGTTTAAAGTTCACTAACTGTGTATTTTATTTAACCATAAGCCACACTCCAAAAGCAGCTAAACTCGTGCCGACAATTGGCTGCTCTCCCGCAGTTGTTGGCACGACACCAGACCCATCCTGATATATTACTTGAAAATGACATTAATATTGTATGTGACTCAGTTATTGCCTACGAAGGACTTGTAGTTTATATGACAGCATGATTTATTAATGGAGTATTGTTCTTTACTGAAAAAGCACGTTACATACATATTTTGTCAAGATTGACTTTATTATTATAGATATACTATGTAGGTTGCTCACAGAATCTTTCTTGCATTTTGTCATATTGATGATAAGAGTCAAGAAGAAATTATGTTTGAACACAATGATTCAAAATATTTTAAACAAAATTAAAGTTTTTGATAATCAAACATGTTGAAATAATAAACTTGACAGTATGCTTTTTGATCTACATTACTAAATACAAATGTTTTAAGGGCCTCCTCAAACCAGTCTTTTTGCATCAGAATTTTTCTAACAAGTATTTTTAGCAAAACCCACTGATGCTAATATTAATTCTTTTTAAAGTTTTCAAGATCCATTTTAATGAACGGTGCAATGAGAATAAAGAATAAATAGCTGTGCATAAGCTTTTTCATATTATGGAGTATTTGGAATTGGACTTGATATATCCGTTTGCTTATTAGCTTCTTTAAAAAGTTCCTGTTACAATCAAGAAAGATAAATTCGTTTGTGATCTATTGAGTATATTACACATAGTAACTTACTCAGAACAGACCTTTGCATATTTATCAATATCAAACACGAACTTATCCTGGCCAAAGTTAGCTTCAACTGTCTCAAGAAATGATCTCAAACCTATCATTGGATAGAACTCTCCCATAACGTCACGGAAAGCAATACCTATGCATTGATAATTCTTATCAGCTATATAAACCGCTTATGCCTCTTTTGCAAATTGTATTTCTGATACCATTACCCGTACCAGGTATATAATTTACTCACCCAAGTGTATACCGTTTTTAGTGTAGAATGCAGTGCCATCAAAGAAATTTATACCACATCCAATAACATCTCCAGTGGTAAATTTCGGACCAAATTCTGTCCCCCTTCCAAACGCATGAAATTTAGCCCCGTCATCTCCATGATATCCATATGCATCATCCTCCCATCCTGTCATCATTTAAATAGAATTAAAGAGACAAGCAGCAGCATAAGAATAGGAGAAGAGTGGAATAAGAACAAGAAAGGAATAAACATGTGAAAATCAACTGAAAACTAGCTTTTGATATTCATATATGCGTGTCATAGGTTTGACAAAACAAAAGAAAAACACCTGGTAGACGATCGAGTGCAACATGTTTCATTGCAAAGCCAATTCCAATGTATCTACACGTTATATTTTATAGCGTAATATCGGTTATAGAAGAGATGGCATGCTGAATAACCACATTACACAGACTTCATACAACATCGAGATTCGTTGAATAAGAATTGAGTGTATCAGTTCTTACCCACCCACGCCTTTATTGATTATCTCGACTTCATAGTAGTACAATCCACATTCTTGTGGTATCGGAAAATATGTTCTAATAGCTGCCGCTTCAGTGTCATCTCTTCCCGCACCTGGCATAAGCTTTGTATTAAACGAAATTCACAACACTTGTAATTATATATTCCGATTACAATAGATACCAATATATTTAGCTCTCAATCTGTTCTTTCCGACTTGTATAAATACAGATGAGTCGCCATGATTCCAAGCCGACGGCAATGGTGGCGAAGTAGATTGCTTGAATAATGCTCCGAACGGACTACCTACTAGATAAGAAGGAAGATTGCATGTCATTTCTGCGCATGTTTGTTTGCATTGGTGGGTTTAATATGCTTCACAGTTGTTACACTAACACGTGATCCAATATCACAACACGATATGTTCAAACTTTGTGAAGCCACTCGCTTTTGGCTATATCTTCACTTATTCAATATAATAAAGTCCTGGGCTTTCAATTACAGAAAGATGGGACACTGCTGTGACACGATCGAGAGCTTAAACGGAACGGTTAACATAAATCTTATTTAGGCGGATAAGTCAACCGATGTAATCAGTCTCTTTTTTCATCAAAATCGAATTTATGTTGAGGACGGTGCAGCAATCATGAGGTGAATGTTTATTGATAGAATGATATAGAGGCATATTTTATATTTTATAGCTTTTTTTTTTTTAACAAGTTAGCACGCAAGTTCAGTATCAATATTAATATAATAGCAAGCCTAAATCTTAATCCAATGGAAACAAGATGTATTATCATAAGCGCCATCAAGTGGGTCGACAATGAGCGCAGACTGTGTGATTGGATGAATGTCTCGTTGATTAGCAAGATTAATATACAGTGTTACAAGTCTTGGACAACTATAACTTCAACACAGCTGCGTTGTATCAGATGATCAAATACTCGTTTTTTGAAAGCTAAAAATAGACAATTTTATTTAAAAAGTTAATTAAGTATTTGAATTCACCATTATTGTCAGCGGTAAGTTGACAACGTTCCTTGATTGACCCAATTAAATTAATTTATAACATTTAGCGGAATATTATCATAAACTGTTCTAATTCCTTGGTTGTCGTTTCCCCACCCTTCCTTTGACAATGGCCCATAAGTTTTCGATAGAGTTCAGATCAAGACTGTAGAGGGCAGTCAATAATAGTCCAAACATATTTTTAAAGGAAATCTTTGATTATGTTGCTTGTATGTCACCTTATTAGTCTCAGAAATGTGTTTCCAACGTGAATTGGTCAGCCATGCTCACACAGAATCAGAGACTTTTTATTGCAAAGACTTTTGTAACACACTGTATGACGGCGGCATTGTAATCCTTTAGCATTAAGCAGGTTAGACTATGGCAACATTTTGTTTATGAAGTCGGCGGAGAGATTAGTAGTTCTTGAATGTCGCTGGTATTTCTTTCACCGTAATACTTGGAGTCCCAATTCAAAATTGTGTATTTGCTTATAAAGACCTACCTAATAGATCATTAGATTATTGGAACATAAAATAATCATGCGACATCTGTGATCAATTCTAGGTCTGCGAACAATTGATGTCAGATATAACAAGAAAAAAGGATGTTGTCTGAGAAAATGTCATTACGATCTTCCATGATAGCTGGCATGACATGGGAAATTTTTGATCGTTACGGATACCGAATGGGTTATTATTATCTGGCAGGACACTTGAATAATCTTTTTTCTAATTCCTCATAGTATCATGATTAGTCTTTTGGTCCGTTGCTGCTTTACTGGTTTCAGACAGAGAAAGAAGACGATATTGAATGTTGATTGCTGGAATAGTGATAACCGTTACATTTGTGCAACAATTAGGAGCCACTTTAAGAAATCATTCTATTTCATGCAAGGTTTGCAATCCGAAATTAGAGCCAAAATAATCAAAAGTACAAATCACACGCACACACCAAGACTTATGGGTTTTTTGACGGGAACAAGACTGTGCGTATATTAATATAATACAGGCTGGTGTATGTTAAAGAAACCATGATTTATTGTATATAGTATACAAAGACATTGTTTACCGAGTATTCTACGGCCATACAAACCTTATGCACGTTATGGTTTAAATGATTAAACGTTGCCAGTCGCGTCTACGGCCACAAATTCTCTTGAGGGACATATTTGTGTGTGACATCGCGGTTCGTGCAATCACGTTCTGCATGAATTATTATGGACGAAGTGCCAAGAACGCACAAAACTAATCTGTGCTTCACATTGTAACGTATACTCCCCAATGATTTACACTGTGCATATTAGCAACTCTCACTTGGATCACCTGACCATTATTATTATACAACTATGGGTAGCGACAACGGCGTTGAGCGAAAAACGTATACATTGTTGTCACTGAATGCAATAGACAAGAAAAGCGCTTATGTCTTAGTTTATCATAATACTCCGCCAACCGAATACTGAACACACATAAATGTTAGAACACACGCACCCCCCGATCTGCGTGACAATCCCTTTAGAATGTTCATGTGACAACTATTATAGTGTTATTATTATAATAATAGTAATATACTATACATACAGTATATGCATACTTTATAAAATGATCGACATTAGCTTCGAAGATGTATTTTTGAATTGTTCCCTCGAGAATCAATCTACTGTCGGGCCCCAGCAATTTTTTTTTGACGGGTCTCCTCGTTTCGTTCGCAAGCGGGTGATATTATTTATTTATGAGTTGATGTTTCATCTTACAAATTGACCCTTTTATTTTCTAGTCTTACGGAATCAACAATATCAATTATTCGCCTTACTGATAACACTTATGCTTTATCAGCTAGTCGCATTTAATTGGTTTTCCAATTTCGGTCATCGCGCATTTAACAACGTCGTGTAACATTTGTACTGTTGGTTCTCGGATTTCTTCATGTATAAACGGTAATACTAATACATTTAACTACTAATTTAACAACGAGTCAACTTTCACAATCCTGTCACCCTGCTATAGAATGTACGACATGTTCATACCCATTAAACTGCGTGCCACCCCGTGTGGTCAGCTCAATTCTTTCTCTCTTTACCCGCTCGGATTCCGGAGGTGCTATCATTATATCTGATCACTCATTCATTCCGTTTCCCTCACATTCCTCCGAGTTCCCACCTTGACCACCACTCCCCCTACTCATCAAGAAAGACACTACACTGTAAAGTGCCGGATATAGGTCTTTCTTAACTACTATACGCTCTTCCTAGACTCTCCCTTCTTACCGTTGGCAGTCATATCTGCTATTAATCTGTCATTATGGCTCAGTATCAAGGACCACCACCTGGACACTATGGTAACCACTCACCAGTCCATCAATACCCTCCCACCTACGTTCAACGACCACCGCCAAGTCACGAATTTCAACCCCAAATGCAGTCTTCATATAATCAAACAGTTGAACCTCAATATAATCTCCCGCTGGAAACTCCACGTCAACCACTATTGAACCAACAAGCATACGGCGATCAGTACGGTCAACACTACGGTCAGGCTCCGCAAAGACAACAAAGAAGATACAAGACTACTAAACAGATTGAATTGTTCCAGGGCAATTTGGTTCTGGATTGTCCCATTCCATCGAAATTGTCACAGGCGATTCCCAGGAAGGACGAAAGAGAATTTACGCACATGAGATACACCTGCTGTACTAGTGACCCCGACAACTTTAAGAAGGATAGGTATACTTTGAGGCAGCAATTATACAGTCCCGCAAGGCAAACAGAATTGTTTATCGTATTGACTATGTACAACGTAAGGAATTGATTTTCTTACAAGGATGAACGTTGCATTATAAAGTCTACATTTATGCCGTTTACCATATTTGGAATAGATTCCCTCATTCATCAGAGTCATTAACTCGAGTTTCCCATTTTTATTATAAAACAGGAAGATGAAATTCTCTTTGCTCGCACATTCCATGGTGTCGTAAAAAACATAGCCCATCTCTGCACTCGCGATCGTTCTCGCGTATGGGGCAAGGATGGCTGGAAAAAAGTCGTTGTCTGTGTTGTATCCGACGGTAGAACAAAAAATCAACCCTAAAACTCTCTCCTATCTTGCCGCTATCGGTGTCTATCAAGATGGAGTAGCCAAGAACTCTGTCAACGACCGCCAAGTTACGGCTCATATATACGAGTATACAACGCAAGTGTCAATCGACCCTGACATGAAATTCAAAGGAGCAAACAAAGGAATTATGCCGGTCCAAGTCTTGTTCTGTTTAAAAGAAAAGAACGCAAAGAAGATCAATTCGCACAGATGGTTCTTTAATGCTTTTGGAAGAGTCTTGAATCCAAATGTTTGTGTGTTGTTGGATGTTGGTACCAAACCGGGTGGAACATCAATCTATCATTTGTGGAAGGCTTTCGATATCAATGCCAGCATAGCCGGCGCTTGTGGCGAGATCGTGGCTATGAAGGGCACGGCCGGAGTCAATCTATTAAATCCTTTAGTTGCTTGTCAAAACTTTGAATATAAAATGTCTAATATTCTGGATAAGCCTCTCGAATCTGTATTTGGATATATTACAGTATTGCCTGGTGCCTTTTCTGCTTACAGATATATTGCACTGCAGAATGATCGTAATGGCAAAGGCCCTCTTGCGTCGTATTTTATGGGCGAAAAGCAACATGGAGCCGATGCCGATATCTTCACTGCCAATATGTATCTTGCTGAGGACCGTATCCTGTGCTTTGAGTTGGTCGCTAAACGCGACTGTGCTTGGCTATTGCATTACGTCAAGTCCTCTCATGCAGAAACCGACGTACCTGATCAAGTACCAGAATTGATTTCTCAGAGAAGAAGATGGTTGAACGGTTCATTCTTTGCTGGTGTTTATGCTATTGCTCATACTTTAAGTCTGTGGAGGAGTGATCACAATATCTTGCGTAAATTACTTCTCCATGTTGAAATGGCATATCAAACATTCAATTTGGCATTTTCGTGGTTGGCGTTGGTAATTATTATTGTGATCTTTAAGTTATCGCTCGCTTTTTACAACCGATGGTACTCTGTTACTAATATACTTATTTTTAATTGTGTAGGGTAATTTCTACTTAACTTTCCATATTCTTGGTAACTCGCTAACTGACCCCCAGGTGGTCAAGGGGTTATGGGATCCGTCTTTTGGTAATCTCGTCTTCCAGATCTTGAGATATGTTTATCTGACATTGCTTATCATTTCATTCATCTTGTCATTGGGTAACAGACCACAGGGGTAAGTAAGAGATAATAAGCTTTACATGTGTTATATGTGCAGTGAACTAATTTCATAAAATTTATTGTGATCCAGTTCCAAGTGGTCCTATACCTTTGCTATGCTATTCTATGCCGGTCTCATGGGTTACATGCTATTTGCTGCAGGATGGCTCACTTTGAAAGGAGTGAATGCTGCATTGGATGAGACGAACGGAAAACTTACTGGTGCTAATCTCAGTACGATATCAGCCGTCTTCCAAAACGAAACATTCCGCAACATTGTTCTCTCATTGGCATCAACATATGGCTTGTACTTTATAGCCAGTGCGTTGTTCTTTGAACCATGGCACATGTTCACTAGCTTCATTCAGTACATGTTCTTGGTTCCTTTCTATGTCAACATTCTCAATGTCTATGCATTCTGTAATACGCACGATGTCAGGTACTTATTCTTTTGAATCATGCTAGTTATATATATAATATCTCTTTTACAATACTCTAAACTAACTAATGTTTCCCTACCACTACAGTTGGGGTACAAAAGGTGACAACTCATCCAAGAACGATCTTGGTACAGTTACGGCCAGTGGCAAGGGCACAATTGAAATAGAAGTGCCTACTGAACAAAAGGACCTTAATGCTTTGTATGATGAAGCATTAACCGTGCTCAGACAGCCCCACGTTGAGGAGCATCAAAAACGTGACGCCGCTACTAAACAAGAAGACTACTACAGAGCATTCCGTACGCGTGTTGTATTGGCTTGGATTCTGTCCAATGCTGCTTTGGTAGTAGGCATAACAACTACGAATGCAAATCTTGATTCAATAGTGCCACAACAAAAGAGAAGTAATCTCTACATGGCGTTTGTACTATGGTCAGTCTGCGGTCTGGCTGCATTCCGGTTTGTTGGTAGCTGTATATACTTGATATTCCGTATATTTACCGGTAATTAGAAGTCGCTTACTACATAACCTTAGAAGATAGTAATCACAGTAAAGGATTATTAATTGTGCGCTTAATAATATGTTTCATTAATGATAGTCATCAAAATGTCTGCACTCAGAGCAGTGCATGAATATCAAATTCCCTTTCTTATTACCTACTTCTACGTCCCATTGTCAGATTCTATTCACTATATAAATATGTGCGAGTGTGATGTGCAATGTATAAAGATAAAATAAACCATATTACCATAATTCAAACGAACAACAAACAATGCGCTTATTATTGTCAATGTTATTGATAAAACCCTCAACTATATTACATAAATAGTCCACCAAATTGACTAGCATATGCCATGGGTTTTATATTAGGATGAGGCTAGAACAAATCAGAATATGAATGCATGAATATAGTCGTTACGTTCCCTG